CAGTTTTGTAATTATGTGCCGCCCTTAAGAGTGGTCGCGGGAAGACGCATTTTGTCGCGTTTCGTTTAACGCCCCCCGGCATCCGATCGCCTGCAAGAATCTTAGCTGTGAATATGCGACGAAGTTGCGCTACGCTCGTGAGTGCGGTTGCAATATATACAGGGTGGGCCATCTATTGGTACGTTTTTGAATTTCGTCGTATGGCAACACCGAACGAGCTACAGACCCGAAATTTTGACAGTTTATTAGTCATACCGTCCGCGGCACGAAACAACATGTTTTCTCTTGAAGAGCGTTTTGAAATTTTAAAAACTTATTTTCAAAGTCAGTGCTGTGTCGCCGAAACTGTACGAATTTTGAAAAGAAATATGGGTCGTGATAGAGCACCCACCGAAGGAGCTATACGCAAATTGGTGAGGAAAGTTCGTGAGAAAGGGATGTTAGTGGATGACAGAAGTGGTCCCAGAGCTCGGACAGTGCGCACACCCGAGAATATTGAGGCTGTGGCCCAAAGTGTGAGACAATTCCAGCTTTGAAAAACAATATTACGACTGTTTTGAGTGAAATTGGCGCCGAGGTAGTCCAAAATGTCATTAATAATTGGGATGACCGAATGGCATACTGTAAGGCCAGTAGAGGGAGCCACATGAACGAAATCGTTTTTCATTCTTGACGCGGATACTTTTAGCTTCACAACAAAAAAAAAATTAATAAAAAATATCAATGTATGCTCATTTGATCGCATTTTTAAAAACGTACCAATAGATGGCCCACCCTGTACATGCAATTACAATACAATACACAATTTATAGATTATAATAATACATAATAATACATAAATAATTGTTGTCAGTGTTAGTGTAGCCTAGCAGACTTGATACCAGCCCATTGGCTTTGGCAACGTGATTACAGCGTGATAGCGACGTGTCGTGTCGCTGATGGGGCTCACCGAAGGGGAGGGCATGCGCGCGACTATACTGCCTGCGTGTAACCGCCGCGCTTCTCACAGTTGGTTTTCTAGAAGATTCCGTGTGCGACCTCCTCGCGAATAGCACGTGCATGATTGGTGCACAAGTTTTATTACTTAACTTTATATTTTAACTGTATTATAAAAGACGCGAGTGTAATTCAAGTATAATAAAAGAGGTCTTATATCAAGGCAGAGTGTATTTCATTTATATCACACGCTGCCAATACCGACACGGACAAGCCACAAGGCAGGAGACACAGATCTCAGACAAAAAGGAAATAGCGCTTCACATAGCGCAACGGGGACACCAAGGTCCTCTCACTAACATTGTCTTTATTCACGCACTGCCGAATTACTTCGGGTATGGCCACAAGGCAGGAGACACAGATCTCGGACAAAGAGAAAATAGCGCTCCACATAGCGCAACGGGGACACCATGGTCCTCTCCCCTAACAAGTACATTTATCATGCGACCTTACTCTGGAAAACAACTTGACGAAAGAAAAAAAAATTTTAATTACAGATTAGTAATTATAGGTTAATTACAGGTTTCAAATTTATTATTATTAATATTACATCGTATTATCTAAATTTATCTTGATCTTATTTCGCATTTTATTAAATTATAGATCAAGGCGCACAATCGAAAATGCATTTGGTATTTTATCTTCACGATGGAGGATCTTTCGGAAACCTATTAATATGCATCCTAAATATGTAGACAGCATCATTATGGCGACTATATGTTTACATAACTTCACTTTCAAAATCTAATGAAGATAATGTGCAAGCGAAGGATAGAATATATTGTCCTCCAAATTTCGTGGATTCAGAGAATGGTTCGAAAAAGAAGGAAAAAAGAAGAAAAAGCGCACGCCCTCGCGTTCTTCTTCGCATCTAACTCGCGCCCCGCGCGCCATACACATATACATATCACGCGACATGGGAAAAGTATGAGACATAAAAAAAAATACAAACTGCAACTGTGAAACAGCGATCTATTTCATGTTTCACTAGGAAAATGCAATCTGCAGATAAGACTGTTATGTCAACTGAAATAAAATTGGTTGGATTTTTAATGGAACATAATCTGCTTTTTCGTTTGGCTGATCATTTAACAGATTTGTTAAAAGATATTTGCCATGATCATCCAATAATAAAAAATATTGCTATGAAAAGAACAAAAATATCTAGTATTGCAGTAAATGTTATCGGTACTTTCCATAAAGATAAATTGGCTCAGATATTAAAAAACAATAAATTTAGTCTTCTTACAGATGAATGAACTGACAAATCTTACATTAAAACCGCTTATATAGTAGTGAGATTTAATGATACTACTTTACAAAAAATTGTCAGTGAATTTTGGGAACTGTATAAAATTTTTGATTCAAGCAATGAAGGTGCAACAGCAAAAAATTTATTTAAAGGCATAATACAATCTCTTGATAATTATTCAATACTTCTTTCAAATATGATTGGATTTGATGCAGATGAATGCAGTATTTTAAATTAATATAATTAACAAACGTTTTGACTTCTTCAGTGCTACAATAAAATACTCGTAATTAAAGAATTCTCAAATCGTTTGATACAGGTACTCTCTGCTGGTTTTATCTATTTATTTATTTATTTTTACTCTAAACACTTTTGTATCTTTTTATTGTCTCTTAATTATGCTATTTTACTTCTTTTCTAAGTACTTTTGTACTCTACTCTTTTTATTCTTTTAACCATCTTATTATATTTATTTTTTCTCTAAAATGTCAGACAGTTGGCGTGTGTATGCCATGTTAAACAATATGCCACGTTAATAAACAATATGCGTGCTGGGGAGATGAAATAACTGTGATATTTTGCGCAGGCTGTGAGGGGATTGCCCCTCAACCTATTAGTTTTATTGCAGAGGGCCTTGTCCCCCGCAATAAATATACTCTCAAGAAATGTACTCTCTGCTGGTTTTATCTATCGTTTGATACAAGGTACTCTCTGCTGGTTTTATCTATTTATTTATTTATTTTTACTCTAAACACTTTTGTCTCTTAATTATGCTATTTTACTTCTTTTCTTTCTTTTCTAAGTACTTTTGTACTCTACTCTTTTTATTCTTTTAACCTTCTACATCTTATTTATTTTTTCTCTGAGACAGACAGTTGGAGTATGTATGCCATGTTAAACAATATGCCACGTTAAACAATATGCGTGCTGGGGAGATGAAATAACTGTGATATTTTGCGCAGGCTGGGGGGGGGGGGTGTGC